AAAAAAAAAAAAAAAAAAAAACAGTTTAGTTTTTGTTTCAAAAGCACGGCTACTTGCCGTAGAAATACTCTCCCGGACTTAAACTTATTAGAGTTCCTCCAAACCATACGCATCACATAAAGATGCAGTTTTCACCTTCACCATTTCCCCCTGAAGCTGTTAGACGTGGTTTCTAAATGAAAGGGTGCACAGAGGTTGGAAATGCAACTCTGTGGTGTGGAAGCTGTATAATTCTGCCCCATGGGCATGATAATGCACTCAAATTACTCCCAGGCTTGCTATCTGTTATCTTCATGCTCTGGGGGTGGGCTGGGGGGGCACCATTACTCCTGCAAGTGTTTTCCTGGCTCCAAAACAACTAAAAACTTTGCAAACCGCATATTTTTTCTAGATAGGTTTTTTTTTTTTATCTCTTTCAAACTGTAGAATTTTGCACTTATTTTTATTTATTTATTTATTTATTTTTTTTTGGAGGAATGAAGCAAAACACTCACCAGAAGAGAAGGACCATGCATTTCATATGTGGTGCGAATCTTAAAGTTAATTAATTTTTTTTCCATTGGATCCTTTATTTCATGCCTTTACTGTCACTTTAATTTAAATCTTAAACCTCTGAAGTGAGAAAAAAAATCTCAGTTTTAGTTTGTATTTTATTAGGATTTTATGTTGGAGATCAGTACACAATAGTGACAGAATAAAAATACACACAGCAGTTTTCCACCTTTTTATAAACAAAAATATCTGAAAGGTGTGGCATGCTTTTGTTTTTTGCACCCCCTGATTGAATACTTTGTTTGCTGCAATTGAGTCTTTGTAAAATTGCTCTAGCATAGTGAGTATGGACGGAGAGCATGAGATTTGAGTTTTCGAATCTCGTGCCACATTTCTTAGAGTTGAGTGTAGGCCATGTGAACACTTCAGTTGAAACAGCAGGATTGTGGTTCTGACTGGATGTTTCAGGCGGTTCTACGGAGAGCAAAACGAGTCACCTCTTTTTGCTACAGGTCTTTTTCCAGTATAATCCTCAGTTCATCCTCCTACTGACTCTTCCCAGCTTTGTGACCCTGCTAAGGAATAACACCCGGACAGCATAACAGTTCCATCTGACGTTCCTCCACATGTTTGCTGATTTCCTTCATAATTCTGGTGAACTTGAAAACAGAACGTTTTGTGGCTTTTCATCACCAGAGGCTTTTTTTCTGCCTGAGTGGTTGATGCCTGTTGCCAAGAGTTACCATAGGCTTCTCGTCATCTTCTCTGAATAATGCTCTGCTTTGTCCCAGACAGTCCCTTTTTAGATAGGTTTGCAGTTGTGCTGCAGGGACTTTCATTTTCAGATGACGGACTGAACTCCTTGTTTAAAGTTCGGGATGCTGCTCTGGAACCAGCTTCCTTTCTGACCCGTCTGCTGTATGCTCCTCATGAAGCTGTTTGTTGGTTAATGTTCTCTAAGAAACTTTGAGGCCGTCACAGAAGACATCGTATTTATACTGAGATTGAACCGCATACAGGTTGGCTGTATTTATTAATTGGGTGACACCTGCAAGCGGCACAGGATTTTAGAGAGAGAGATTGCTTTGCTTTTCTGATTTTCATTTGTAAAAAATGTTTTTTTAAGTTAAGGTTTTTCTCCCCTTGCACTAATCTACATCACTTTGTGGTTGCAGTGGGACAATTTGTGAAGGTGATAATACTTTTGCAAGGTACCATATCTCGTCTTCTCGTGGTTTTCTACAACGGGGTTTGTTTTATAAATTTGTATACTGATGAGGTTTGGCAAAAATACATTCAGAGGCTAAACATCTGTCTTTGATGTAAGAACCAATGTTCTTTAAGGATTTAGAGAGGCCGATTCAGGTGGACTGATAGCTACTAAACACGCAAAAGAAAAACAAAAAAAAAGTAGACGGACTGTTTCGTGTCTGTTGGAAGTATCTGAGTTGGATTTTAAGATCAGGCTTTGCCAAGACAAACTCAACCTTCTTTGTTGTCAAGCACAGAGGCTTAAACAAACTATTAAGCATTGGACTCTGGCCACCCGGCACTCTGAGCCAAGATGTGATGTGTATCAGGGTTAGTCTGGCATTATCGTGCATAGTGGCATCATAAAAAAAAAAAAAAAAAATCTGATGGGAGGTTCTTCTCCACTGCAAATCATTTGCTCTTTAAACTTTACTTTATTGAAATAAACAAATATAAGTGGATGAAAAACAGCGGTTAGGCTTTAAGCTCCTCTAAGGAACATGCGACTTTGCTGTTTACTGCTCTAATAGCATGGAATGGTCCTTCCTGCTGCGAGCTCTCCTGTCTTTGCTTGCCAAATGTTTTTCGACTCAATGGGTCACCCACTGTGCAACCGAGCCATCCGTCATCCCAACCCAAAGCCGCAGGATGTGATGAAATGCGACGCAGATGAGATGTTGGAAGACGGGGCTGATTGTAAAGTCGGATTGGAGTTGTTCTGAACGGTTCCCCTGAGCAACTTGTGATTCAGCTGCATTTAATTGTAACAGATGCACATCGCTGGAGACTTTGTTCTTTTATTTAAGAAAATACATAATTTATACAAAACACATATATAGCTTAGTGCGTATAACGCTATGTTACATCATTTTTTTAGCTGTTAAGTTATGTGCGGCTACTCCTGTCTAGCTTGTATGACGGCTAATGCATGTAAATATATATATATATATATATATATCAAGTAAATAGGCATATAGTATCAGAGAGTTTTAGGTGTGCCTGTGGTAAATATCTGTAAAAAGCCTTCAACAAATTCCTGTTCACATGCTGTAAAATCACATGCTGTAAAATTAAGAATAGGGTTTCAGCAAGGCTCTTAAAACACATTAATATGATAATATTAGGCTTCAAGAAGTCTTTAGCAAAGTCTTGATAGTGATTCAGCAGGTAATGTGTGTTTTACAATCAGAAAATTGTGGGTTAGATTCCAGTTTCCTCGTGTTGACGTGCCCCAGGGCGACAACACATCGTTCTAAGTTTCCCCATCAATTTGCTTATCTGTATATCAATATGTGGGTGTTTGTGATTGAGGGGTGGTTTTGAATAAAAAATAAAAAATAAATGATTTCAGGCTGTTTTAACATTTTACATTTAAATAGATTTGGATGAAAAATTATTGTTTTGAAACTGTAAAACCAGTTAATTTATGAAAATAAAGTATTTTATGCCCTCACATTAGGTGTGAGAGGACATGTTGCATGCCAAAAAATAAAAATAAATTAACAAAAATTAAATCATAATGATCTTAAACACAATAAGAAAAATTGACCTATTAGTTCAGTTACATTCATCCATTAAGTCTCAATTACTTACCATCGAAATGGTAAATGTGCAGAGTTTGGTAAACATTGCTTTAATTTGAATTGTGTGCTACCCTCTGTGAAAATGCCACAGTATGAGTCCTGTCTTATGGGCAATGATAGTTTGTGCAAAGGATTCACGGGATGTATCAATTATTGTGCCATAAATATTTCTTAGCAATAGATTTTTTTACTCAATTTCTTTTAGTTTGAGAATATGTTACTACAATAAAAATGAATTTAAATTGAGGCTTTTGACGCATATTTACCAAGAGTGCCAGTAAAGATGGCTAACGCTGTACGTGCTAAAGTCTCAGATAGTGAATGTGCTGGTGTCCTGGTCCTCCGAAACAGACTGAGACTGGTTCTGGCTCGCTGAGTGGAGTGCGATCTCCACCGCCGGCTCCTTGTTGACTTGCCTCGAGTGTCTTCCAAGTCTCTGTCCAAGGTGCTTGGCAGCCTTCAGGACGTGTCCTCTGAAGGAAGACCCGATGAAGGCGTATAGGACGGGGTTGATGCAGGCGTGGGTGAGCGCCAGGCTCTCCGTCACCTGCCGAGCGCGGTCCAAGCGCTTGCTCATTTCGCAGTCTGTGACGAGGTGGTAGATGATGTCCATCGCTCGACATAGCTTGACCACGTTGTAGGGCAGCTGGGTGAGCAGGAACACGGCCACGACGACGAGGAGGACCCGAAGCGCGCGCCATTTCCGTTCCCTACGCACCCCGGCTGCCTTGGTTAGCGCCCGGCCTATGCATGAGTAGCAGACCACCATGACCAGGAAGGGGATGACGAAGCGGAGGATGACCTCCAGCAGCTCCAAGGCAGCTTTCGCAGGTCGGGCCATGCTGGTTGGGTAGATGGCCGTGCAGCTGGTCCTGTGATGGGACGTCTTCACCGTGGAGAAGATGAGTTCAGGAAGGCCAAAAAAGCTGGCTAAAGCCCACAGTGCCGCACACACCAGGATCCACTGCCTCCTGACTCGGGTACCCGTCCCAGTTCTGCCCACTGAGTTTTGGGCCACCGCCCGATAGCGATCCACGCTGATGCACGCCAGCAGTAGCATGCCACAGCTGAAGTTGGTGCTGTAGAGGAAGGAGTTGAGTTTGCAGCCGGCCACGCCCAGCTGCCAGCCGTGGACGGCGTCAGCGGCCCAGAACGGCAGGGTGAAGAGCAGCAACAGGTCTGAGATGGCCAAGTTGAGGATGCACATGTCAGTCAGGGTCCGGAGTCTCAACTTTGATGTGTAGACCACCACCACCAAGGCGTTCCCAGCCAGGCCCACCACCAGAGCCAGGGCATAGATGATTGGGAGGAAGACGCTACCGAAAGAACGCACTGATTCTTTCTCGCAGACGCTGTGTTCATAGTCGTATTCATAAGTATCGTTGAAACTGATATCCGTATCGTCATTGGTGTAGAAGTCCTCCATGTTTCCTGCACATGAAAAGAGCAGAATTTAAAGATGTGCTTAGTGAAATAGGAGAAATATTCACACTCCTTAAACTTTCTCTCGTTTCGTCAGAGTTGATGGAAAAGCCTATAGATTTAAATGCAGAGCAATACTAGAGGAAACAAAATGTAGGACAATAACCTTAAGCACACAACCAGAGCTACAATAGAATGGTTTACATTAATCTGTGAAAGGCTCAGTCATTTTTTTTATTATTATTAATTAGGCTGCTGTACTGGATTTTATTTACAAGTTTCAGGGGGGAAAGAACTGCACACCACACTTCTCAGAAATCTAATTACCAAAAAGGGAATTGACAAAGCCTTGCATCATTTTCCTTCCACTTCAAAATTAGGCTCTATTTAGTGTTGATGTGTTGCATAATAGTCTCAATAAAATACAAGGAAGTTGATGGGTAGGTGGAAACTTTAATTCGTTATAGGGAGATGAATACTTTTGCAAGACACTGCAAGTGGTGAAACAGGAAATGGGAATTCTGTTTGGGTTCAAAGGAATCTTCCCTGCTTTTCCCTATAGTCTAGCCTGTCGTGCATGTGTGTGGGCTTCAAGAACAACAGTAAACGGATCTCTGCAGAAGGCGACGAAAGAAAACAACCAAACTGGCCCGAAGAGCTTCTAATTACCACTTGAGTTTGCTTAGTTTGCATGCAGCGAGCGATGCCAAGTGATCCGCAAACTTCAGGAAACGGCGGCTTCTGATTTATTGAATAAAGTAATGCGCAGTTAATCTGTCTATAGAGTTTTACTTGTACAACCTGTTGTGCAAGCTGATAACATCTACTGTGGGTATTTAAGATGGCATGTTTATATCAGTTAACACTGCAGCTTGTTTTTTTTTTTCCCCCCACATCAGTGTAATAATGGCTGCGGGGGCAATCCAAAACTGACAGGAAATAAGGTTAGCAAAGGGTGGAGGGGAAAAGAAAATTTTTTTTTTTTTTTTTTTTTTTTTTCCTCCCCTGCTTCAAACCCAGGATCCTGGTTCTGTTGCACAGCTTCAACAGGACATCCCATTATGTGAGACTTTTGAGACATATTGGTTATGACGTCAACGCCTGTTTCCTGACACTTCACTGCACAATGCGTCTGGACAGTCTGACTGCCTCATACAGTAAAGTCTTTGTTAACCTTATAAGGCTGTCATCATTTTTAATAAGCTGTTTGCTGAGATCATCTTTAAATAAGCTGTTGGCTTCCAAAAAAAATCCCCACTCATTTAACTCCTTTCTTCTTCTTCCACTTGCCGATCAAAGATCCAAATCAAATATTGCTATATGAAGTTTTCTTTGAATACAAAGACTTTCTTTTAAAATGTTGACTGCATATAATTAATCAATTTTAGAACAGTGTCCTGCAGCCGCAAATGACTGATGCTAAATTTATTTTTAATGAAAATAAAAGCTGTGAGGCAAATATGTATGAGTTATGATGCCCAGTACATAAGCTGTTTTAAGTGTATTTCTGCTTGTTTTGAAGCCGTCATACAATCCACATCCTTTTGGGTTGGTAAATATGAACTATAAAGGACCATAGATACCTTGCGTATAAATTGTGATGCAGAAAGAATTTGAGAAATCCATGATATTCACCAACAGCATATTTTTACTACCGACAATCACCTCTTGAAACGGGATTTAGGTGTTAAAGAGAATGATTTATGGGGCGGATTGTGTTCATCTAATTTGATTCAGTCAAAGTGGAGTTTAATAACCTGTCCACCCCAAAGTCAAAACCTGTTACGAGACTGATGACATAATCCCCGAGGGAGTACGGGTATATCTCAGGATCTTCTTTATGGCTGAGCGGACTTCTCGCCGAGATAACGGGAGTCTTGTTCTTTTCATGCAAAATGTCCAGTTCGGTTACATAATGAAGTGCGATGTTCCGAATGGGAGGAGTGGCAGTGAATGTAGCAGATGTTCTTGGAATAACTGCAAAAATGCCGAGCATTCGCCACCGTCAACAGCTGCGTGTCACTTATGACAGGTTCAAACTTGCTGCCATTCTTTCAAAGTGCTTGTTTTGAACTTTACAAGCAAATTACAGAACAATTGTGAATTGTTTTAAAGGTGTTTAAGAAGGAATTGTCATAAAAGTTTCCACTTTTAATTTTGCATTAAAATTATGTTTTGCTTTACCTGGAATACATAGATACTTCTGGTATTTTTGGTAAGTTTAAGTAATGCAAATATCTTTTTTTTTTAAACCTTTTTCTTATTTTATTCTAGCTGTCTTAATTAAATCTACTTTATACAAGATGTTCTGTTGCTGATGCAGTGGTGTGAAGTTGTAGCATCAACATTCTGATTTGATTTTGCTCTGAAAATGTTTTTTGCAAATGACAAAAACACTGGGACTTCTCACCGTGGCTGCATTTGTGAGGTAATGATAACAGAGCAAACTTATCATGACTTCATTCTAAGTTTAATAATGTCATAAAATCTTCGAAGCAGGACTTTGACTTTAAGCTCAACTGTAAATCAAACTCTTTACTACTATTTGAATAAAAAAACAAGATTAATTTCTGTGCTAAACAGACAAACAGGATTTTGAATTCAGAATCAACAGAATAAACTAGCATAACCAAGCTTTTAAACTATTACTCTGTCAGCTTAGTGTTAAATGGGTTGAATCAGAAAATGTCTTACCTGGTGTCAGCAGTTTTTTTTTTTTTTTTTCTTAGAGCGTTAAGGATTAGAAAAACCTCTGTGAGCCGCACACAAACTGTAACTGAGTCCGGAGGAGGTGTGTTAGTGTATTCTCCAGGACTGAAGTGACTAATCTGTGCTGCTCAGCCTGCCCTCCTCCCTGCACTGACGGCACGAGGAGCGTGTCCCTTCTCCACGTAGCTCTGAATACATTTGTGTGCGTGTGTGTGTGTGTGTGTGTGTGGTTGTGTTTGAGTTTGGGTCATTTCCTTGAATGCATAGTTTGGATGACTCAGAATCCCACAGTTTTTGTTTGTTGGTCCATGCAACGCATTATGCAAGGACTAGTGGAGTTTTTCAGTCTTTTTAGATAAACTTTAGTCTCTTTTTTTTTTTTTTTTCCCAGGTCTTTGTCATTCAGAGCAGGAAGTGTCAGTAGGAGCTTTGCTGTGTTTGTGAAGGTTTGAAGGAATCCTTTCCTGGTCTAAAACACTTATTTATATTAGTTAAATATTTTGTATTGTTCATTGTCATACTATGTTTTGTGTGTTATGTATTAGCAGTTGACAGTAGGGTGGGTGCGGCTGCCATGCAGCGTCACCGGCAGATTTAGGGCTCTATATAGGAGGGTTATATAGGTCTATATAGGAGGGTTATTTATTGATTTAAGGCATGATGGATCATATCTGGTTCAGGCAAACAACACACAATGCACAATTCCTTGATAGGAATTTTTATGACTTGGAATGAATGTATTATTAAATGTGAATAAAACATATTTTAGAGAGTTGTTTATTTGTCAGGAGTCTAAAGGATGTTTTTTTTGTTGTTGTTGAAAGTTTCAGAAAAATAGAGAGGCATGTAAGACAGGAAGAATTATCAGGATAGAATAATTTCGACATAGCATACATCATTACAATGTCAATAACTCTTTGCAAACAAAAAAAAGAACTATTTGGATGCAGTATTTAGTTGAATGTCAGTTGTCTTGTATTCACACTCTTTTTGTCAAAATATATTTAGCCAGTTGGACGGACTCATCTATCTGTTTTTTGTGGCCGAAGTGCTAAAACTCCAAGAAAATAGCAGGATGAAAATGTGGGTTTGTCATAGCTGATTATTGCCATCAACATATTCTGCAATATTATCACAAATAATTGCTTTTCCGATATTATCCAGCCTTGATTTGATTGATTGTCAAGATCATAAAAACTGATATTTTGTTTTGGCTTCAAGTGGCCGTCTCGTCTTTGTGGGTTTAAGGGTTGTTACAGTCCAGAAAGGAACTTATGAATGAGCAGGACGAAATCAGTTACATGTGTGAAAGATCGGATCTTATGCCTTTGCATGCATTACACTGTTACTAGTAGATCCGTTTCAGATGCTGTGAACCCAACACTGTGCCAGTGTTTGTTTGCCAGTGTTTGTCTGTCTGCTTCCTCAGAAATTCCAGATTGTTTTTTAATATCCGTGAGTGCCACATTCCTCGTCTTTCCCTTCCTCATGTTTGCACAGCTTGTTTGGGACCAGAAATTAAATAAACAGCTAAATATGAAAAAAAAAAAAAGCTTTTCCTGACAACTAAAAAATGTGATTTTGAAGGATGAGTTTGTGACTTAAATAAAAAAGAGTAATATTATGACATGTTTGGGTGTCAGTGCTGGAATCTGGATTGTCTGTCTTCATTCCAGTGTGGATGGGACGTGTTTGGGCATGATCACCTTAGATCGTGGTCCATGTGACTTATATAAGGGTTCAATGAGAAAGTTGAACCTGCCCTCGGGCCAAACAGGCTTTCCTAGGTGTGTTTTTTTTTATTTTTATTTTTTTATTTTTTTACTGGGTGGAGCTATTTGTATATTTTGCGTTTGTGGTTACAAGGTTGGTATGTTCAGTTATTTTGACTTCTTTACAGTTTGTTTAGTAACTACACATCTGTCACAACGAATTGGTTGAAAGAGTTCGCATGCAGTCATGCTGAGATTACCGTGCTGTGATTTCCATAAAACTCTCACGTCTTCTTGTCTGTTCCAGTCTGGTGACCATATGTCTTGTCCTTAGGGGACAGTTTTTCCAGCTGGGCAACGACTTAAACAGGAAGTGAGGCCATCAGTCCTCTCCAAGTGTACATTAGGCCTCATGGGCATGACCTGAAATGGACCTCTAACCAAGGAAATTCCAAAGTAATCTGTATTTTTTTTTTTTACCAATCAGCAGTTTGGAGTCACGCCTCTGGGGCTGTAAAAAGCTACAAAAGGCAAAATGTTTTTGGTAAACATGGCAACGAGACAGAAAAAAAAAAAAAACAAAAGGAGGGCATTTTTTCAAAGCTTGCAATGAACAAAATAAAGAAATACTTCAACATTTTGGAGACTGTAACAATAACAGCGCTGGGACCAAACATCAAAACAGGAAATGCCTAAAAATCAAAAGAAAAGTGCTACATATAAAATACTGTCTTTTTTACTTTTGGAATATAAATTTCTCATCCTTTCTGGAATACTGCTTTTTTTTATCATATCACTTTTTGTAAAATTACAACTTCAAGCTTTAATGTACTTTGTGATATGATTTATGAACACGCAGTTAAAAAGTGTAAGAATCTGAAAAGTGTAGTGCACTTCTGTATTCAGTCCCCATGGATCAATGAATGAGTGAACTTTTCACTACTATTGCAGCGAAAGTTTTTTTTTTTTTTTTTGTAGCTCTTTTAGAGGTTGATATTTTAACTTTTGAGATTGATTTCTGCAGATATGGGTAATCTTTTCTAATTAGGAGATGTCTAAAGGCAGTTGTTTGGGCTGGGTTTTATTTTAGGGGTATCAGACTGAAGGGGTCTGAATACATATGCATGCCACACTTTTCATATTAAGAAATCTTTCAAATGTCCACTGAGGTCATCCATATCTCTGCACTCACTCTTTTCAGTTTGTGACATGCTGAAGATTCCTCTGCTGAATCTTAAAATTCAGCATAAAATAGTGCCCTCTAGTGGCAGTATTGAAATGCAATTTTTAGAGGGGGGTGGGGGGGATTTTTGTGTCAAGAAAAGAAACAGTTTTTGTTTAATTTCAAACAAACGTGGTCTGTTTCCAATAACAAGCTAAAACCCCAAAAGAATCCAACTGCGGAAATGTAAATCAACCTGTGGCTTTCCCCGCTGTCGGGGCCGTTAATCTCTCTCGAGGCTCCATCCAAGCTCAGCACTTCCAAGGGAACAACAAGGACTGTTTTCCGGGCATATTCAGGTCATGGAGTGGTTAAGGTCATGGAGCGTGGATGGTTCAGCTCGTCTTTTTTGTCTTTTTTTTTTTTTCCTGGTCCACCGCGATGACGCGACTAGATATGCGTCAGAATCTAAAGTCAGAGTTTTTGTGCTCTGTGTTTTCAGGTGCGGGCAGTGCCACTTGTAAAGTGGCCATCGTCATGTGCAGGAGCAGCTCTGAGCATGGCAACAGCAGGTCAGCTGGGGTTTCAGACGTCTATTTTGTGATTTGTTTGCTTGTGCTGCACATTTTATACATTTGTCTAATTTTGCACAAATGATCAGATTTCATTTCATTCAATTTTTCCAATTTGTTCTCAAATGGTTTTAGCTTGTCGTGTGTAATTTTTACGCTATAGAGACCAAAGCCTCATGTTTTTAGCACACTATGTGAGGTTTTAGCTCATAAAATGAACTTTTCCTGATTGAAATTTACTTAAAGTGCATTTACTTTCAAACACTAATCTTCAGTGTTTATCCGCATATCACTCGCAGATTTGCTACTCTCTTGTCTCTACAAGTATTAAAGAAAACCAAATCTATTAACAGTCACACCCTCGATATAAAACACGTTGTCCTTGTTTCCAACTTCACGTTTTAAGTTCCAACACACACCCAACATTTTTTGGCAGAGAATTGATGACACATTGCCACCAGCGGTAACAGCTGTAAAATTGATTAAACGTTAGTAAAAAAAATTCAAAAAATTGATTAGCTTTGGATAAGCTTCATTATTTAAGGGCGTTGTTTGAACTTCTTTCTCAGGCACGGCCAGCACAGCATGGTCCTCGTACCCATGGACACACCGGGCGTGAAGCTCATCCGGCCACTCACCGTATTCGGACATGACGGTTGGATCGTCTCTCAGTATCCCCTATTTGCTATTTGAAAGTTGAACCGATGTGGTGTGGTTTACAGATCATCCTTGTTTCTTTTCAGATGCCATCCATGGTGGCCACTTTGAGGTCCACTTTGAAAACGTGCGCGTTCCAGCTTCCAACATGATCCTGGGTAAAAAAAAAAAAAAAAAAAACTTAAGCTCTCCTGACTTAAACAGGAGAGACATTTTTTGAAGCCTGAGAAACTGATTTGTTTTGTGGAAGAGAAAAAGTAATGTTAGCCTAATAACCTTCCCCTACTCGTGTGTTTTCCAACAGGCGAGGGCCGAGGGTTTGAGATCGCTCAGAGGCGTCTGGGTCCAGGCAGGCTGCACCACTGCATGAGAGCTGTTGGCTGCGCCGAGCAGGCGCTGGAGCTGCTGTGTCAGCGGGCCGCTTCCAGGCGAACATTTGGGAAAAACCTTTACCAGCATGTGAGCGAGTCACACAGGCATTTCCTTCTGCTGTCAGATGAAGGACAGGTTAAATAAAATTGTGCTTCTGTGATGTTTAAAGGAAGTCATCGCCCACTGGATTGCAGAGTGCCGCCTGATGATTGAGCAGACCCGCCTACTGACTCTCTCCGCTGCTCACGCCTTGGATGCTCTGGGCAGCAGGGCCGCTCGCAAACAGGTGACACTGTTGGTAGTTTGTGGTTCTGGTTTACATATGAGCAGAAATATCAAATCCCAATTCTCAAATCCACCTGTAAACACAAACATTAAGCATGTTTTCCTTTACTGTAGTTAGAAAGGGTTCATACTTTGACAGCTGTTCAGAAGGCTCATTACCTTTCTAATTTGCAAAACTAAGCATTTAAAGCCTGATTTAGTAGCATAGCATGCTAATGTCACAATCTGTCCTCTAGATTGCCATGATCAAGGTGGCAGCAGCCAGGATGGTGTGTAAGGTGGTGGACTGTGCCATCCAGGTTCATGGAGGCGCGGGAGTCTCAGGGGACTTCCCTCTGGCACAGATGTAAGTTTGTCTTTCTTTGCATAGAAGCACATATGAATAAATCATGCAGTGTGTTGTAATTTAAGTGGAGATTTGGATGATTATGGCTTCCAGCAAATGAGAACCCGAAATGTATTTTCCTGGATTACCTAATGAGTGTCATTACATATAAATTCATTAGAAGATGCACTTTTTTTTTTATTTCTGATTCAGCCTTCTGATTGTACCGTTCCTCTGGTTTCCCAGGTACTCGTATGCACGAACTCTGCGAATTGCTGACGGACCCGATGAGGTTCACCTTTCTTCCATTGCAATACTGGAACTGAAGGATCAGCTAAAGCAGGCGCGGGCCAGGCTGTAAAAATGATTCGATAATGCTTTGAGCTAAAAAAAAATTCCAAACAGTCCATTAAATGTATCGTAATATTTCTAAAAATGCAGGGAGGGAAAAAAAAACGGTGCTCTGCAAACCTGCATGCAGGTTTAGCAGTTTGTTGGGGATAAATGAATACTTACCTGTGGAGTTTGAATGATCAATATAATAAATTGCAGGACTGTGAGGCAGTTTTTAGGTGACTGGGTAAGACAGATGCAGTATTTTTGTGATCAGATCTTACGATGCGAAGGTGAAAATGAAATAAATTGTAACTAAATTAACATTGCTTTTATCAGTCATTGCTCCAGACATCTTAAAAATGACACTTGTTTATTAGGAATTATTTTTAATGTGAACTACAAAAACAGAAGTCGACAGCATGAATGTAAGACTTTTCCTCTCACACTACATGGGTGTGGTCTACCACATGGATGATTTCCATTGTAAGGTCGAGAAATTAGGACACACAAACACATTTTTTTTTTTTTTTAAATCTTTACAATATAAAACAGCAGTGGCCCCATCTACCTGATACACCAGATGGCAACCCATGCAACACCCTCCACTCTATGTTGTCCGTCCTTTAACCTACAGTCATCGCAGATCTTCAGCTGCCAAATCAGTCCACCTTTAAATCAAACGTGGCGCAGAGATGGGTGGGGGGGGGGGGGGGGGGGGGATGGGGGGGGGTGGTTTCGGGGGGGGAACCAAAAGATGTCAGTGTTTGCTCTTCTTAGATTTCTTGTGAGATCGGTGGGGGGATCTAGATCTGGAGCGGGACTTCTTGGTTGATTTCTTGGGTGTCCTGGAGCGCGACCGCCTCGATCGCTTCGGTGTGCGAGGTGAAGATGGAGATCTAGTGGGATTAAAGGGACATTACACATTCAAGAGTTCCTAAAAACAGCTCAAGTTTTAAAAAATCTCCCTTAATACGATTTAATCTAGGTGTTTCCATACACGTTAAAAAGAAAAGCTTTATTTGTTCCCAAGCTCTACCTGCTGCTTTTTATGTTTCCACTTAATTTTTCTCTCTGAATGCCATCTAGATTATTAATAGACTGGTCCCTCTTGCAGTATGTATGTAAACTTTGAAAAGTCACACGCATAACTAAGGACAACTTCAGAGTAACAAATTAACCAACAATCTTATTTTAGGACTGGACGGGGAAGACGGGAAACCAGCTAGAACAAATGTTTAAATGCAGTGTATGACGTTTACCTCTTGGACGATTTTTTGTTGCTGGACCGAGGAGAGTCTTTATGGGACGAGCGTGACGATGTGTCTTTAGAGTACGACCGATCGGAGCGTTCCGATCTCTCCGAGCGCTCTGAACGCGGCGAGGACGACCGGCCTCGCCTGCTGCCGCTCCTCAACGGACTGGGAGAGCCGCTGTGATGCCGCTTTCTGAGAGGAGAGGGAGGCGTGTCGGATGGCACGTTAGTCGAGCTGAAGCTTTACTTTTAGAAATCTGACTCTACTTAAAATGTCCGCATCACCTTTCTTTCCTGGTTGGTGTGTCATCCTTCTCCTTTTCCTTCTTCAGTTCTTTTAACCGCGCCTCTGCTTTCTCCTTTTCCTTTTTCTCCCGTTCTTTCTCACGCTCAAGTTTCTCTTTTTCTTTCTCCTTTTTAAAAAGTGTGACAAAAGAAAGGAGTTTGGTTATTGTTTTGTCCTGTATCATACATTAGAGGGAACAATAACCGAGGTTCCTACCTTCTGTAGCAGTTTGTCCCTGTAGTGCTCCACCTGCTCCTGGATACTCTGCCCAGGCTTCTTGGGCCTTTTCCCAGACTCCAGCTCATCCTGGAACTTCATGACTTTAACCTGTTGTGGAAGATGTAATGCACCATGACGTCCTGCTACTATGCATTCTCCTCACTGGCATAATCTTCTTGTCTTGATCTTTTAATCGTTTTTGTCAACAAATAACCAGACCAAACACATGCTAAACTGTGACAATACAACAAAATTATCTGCAGAGCACAACTTAAAAAAACAAAACAAAACTAAATACAAGCATTTGACGCAGCCTTATGGAGCATGTAGGAGCCAAGCACCAAAACATCAGAGCAATGTTCACTGGCATGTAGTCAGAGCTCCAGAGCAGCAAATGCGTAAATACTGTATGTTACTGGGAATTATGGAAAATTATCAGTATTTATAACATCGTGCGTCACACAATGACTGTTTAAATAAACCCTGACACGCTAGAAAACAACAGGGCCAAGGGAGTAAAAATCCTGCCATAAACTAACAAAAAAACAATGTTAAATTGCACTTTTTAGGTTTATCATAAACATTGTAAAATATGAACAGGAAATTGTTTTAAAAAGATTTTAAAAAGTTATAGGTAATATAATGTTATAAAGACTATTTCAAATGAATACATATAGTGGTCACAAAACCAGCAGAAAGGTAGTAAATGCTGTTTTACAGCCGCAGAGCAAGTTATTTACGACCAGATTACTGGTCTGATAAGGAAGCAGTAGGAAAGTTCAACACATTTTTATCTGATTAGATCCCAAACCGCAACGCAAACTTCGGCCGTTTGAATGGAGACCAGCTAAAATCTCCACTAATTCAACATGCGATACTTAAAACTTGACAGCTCTTGCTGCTGTGTTTTACATTTCTAACTGCGTTGCTGTGATTCCTCGGATCACCTGATAAACCGGAATTTTCTGAATGAGCGGAACAGATTATGCAGGCAGTTGTTCAGCTCTTCAAGTGAATTTTCCATACTTAAAAAAAAGACGCGTGCCAAGAAACCAACTTAGTTAAAATGAGGAATCTACAATTTCTAATATGAACTATGGTCAGATATCCAGCCAGCTACTGCATGTAGAACAGAGGCTGACCAGTTGCTACAAAACATGTTTTTTTTTCTTCCCCAAAATCTTTTTGTGCTATTTATTTAAATCAATTCACTTCAAAAAGAAAACATTTCAATCAATCATTTACATTATTTAGACATATATTTTAGTTTGTAAAATAGATAAAAAAAAAAAAAAAAAACCCAAATCTCCCTGCCTTTGGGCGGTTTCCCCTAATTCTTTTGGGAACCGTTGGCTTTAAGGCA